ACATTCTGACCCAGGTGTACAGTTCTCCCTCTGTCTGTCTGAGCCGCTCACACTCAAGTGCAGCTCCTCTGCTGCTCAGGGCTCCGCCGATGATGTGCAAATGATTTGTTCAGGTGTTTTTCAGCAGCACTATACCGCCCACCCAGCATCTGCTGTCTCACTTTACATAATGTCTGACTATATCCTTCTCACCAATTTTTACTGGAACGAATGAGAAATAGCAGGACGTAGTTTTTAATGCCAGAGTACAGTTGTACAAACTTTTTTTTTTCACCTGTGAATTCCCAGTGCTGTAATCATTCATAAAATACTCACAATGTTCTGTTTTTACTTTGAAAATTGAAAAGGGGAATTATTGGGTAGCAAAGGAGTTCCTGGCACATGTGTGAAAGATAGCTGCCCTGATGCAACACCAGGTGAGTTTTTTATAAATATGTGAACTCTTAAAAACTTAATTTGATGAAAATGTATTTTATTTTATTTTATTTTATTTTTATTTTGAATGCTTCCCATTTGGAGAGTTCTGGTTGATTTGAGACATTTGAAGATTTTGTGGTCTTACCCGAGTGGTGGAGTGCATGTGACCTTTCCAACAGTAGTCAGTTTATGAAAGGTTACCCTCACACTCACTCGATCACACACACACACACACACACACACACACACACACACACACACACACACACACACACACACACACACACACACACACACACACACACACACACACACACACACACACACACACACACACACACACACACACACACACACACGTGCGTCCACACAAAGAAACTTGATGTGGCAGAGGGGGTGACTCACACTCCTGTTTGTTCTGTGTCTCCATGCATCACCTGCACCTTAGAGGCTCACACGTGATCTCCACCTCACCCTTCACCTCCACACGCTCTGCATGCCATTTCCGTTTCAAAATATTAAATATTGACACAAAACTTCACCCCCATAAACACTACCCCATGACCTGCTTCATTATTATCATTACTAACATTGTATTATTATTATTATTGTTATTTAGCATATATATATACTGTATATTCTTATTATATATATTATATTATATTATTCAGTGTTTCCCCGCCCCCTTTGAAGGTCAAGTTAATAAAAAAAATATATATATATTTTTTTTTTAGATTTATTTTTCTAACGCTTCAAACATCATAAAGATGGCGTTCATCTGTGAAGATTATCCTGCAGAACAAAACACCTACGCTTCAGAAATGTGCGTTAGCCTCAGAGATTATTTTCTGCAATGATCCAAAATCCAATGCAAACATCCCAGAGGAGAATTCTCGTTAGACGCCATGGCGATGATACTTTCGGGTTGGCCTACAAAAATACGTCATATGGTTTGTTCTCTATATAATTAGGTTAACAGAAAACAAAGTGTATTACTGTTAAAACAACAATATAAACAACAGCATAAAAAAATCAACTGGTTGTTAACCTCTCTGTTTGTTTCTGATTCATCACGGCTCCTCACATGTTGTGCTGTGTGTCTGGTTTCAGATAAAGACGACAAGATAGAGCGCGTGTGCGACACTCTGCTCATGTGTATCATCACAGTGTTAAACCAGGGACTCCGTAATGGAGGAGGTGTGGGAGACATTCTCAGGAGACCCTCCAACCAGGTGAGACAGCCCCCAAATAAAAAAATAATAAAGCAGGACCTAAACTAATCATATTTTTCTGTACATAATGCTTGCAATATCTTCTGCCTACACTTTGAGGGACATTGCATATTAATAAACGTTTCAGTAAATGTGCCAGAGTTAGCCAAAAGGCTAATTTACATCTGTTGTCTCTGGACAGATTTTATAAAAGGCTCCCTAAAAAAAACAAATTCAAACATCGCTAAAAGCTACAAAAATAGAAATATCATGACAGTAATGAAGCAGCCACAGGAGAAAATACATAAAGCATGCAGGATACACATCAAGCAGCATTTGGTTAATATAAAACATGTATCTCATGCAGGACAGACAGGAAGCAGCATTGAGCAGACATAACAATATTCATTAGTATCAGATGATGTTCTTTCTCCATATATGACCTGTGTGTTTTTTTATCCATCTAGGAGCCACTGTTTGCAGCGCGGGTGGTTTATGACCTGCTGTTCTTCTTCGTCGTCATCATCATCGTTCTTAACCTCATCTTTGGCGTCATCATCGACACCTTCGCTGACTTGAGGAGCGAGAAACAAAGGAAGGAGGAGATCCTGAAGACCACCTGCTTCATCTGTGGTGTGTACTCCTCTGTGGACGTCGGTAAAGAAACATTAAAGGACTTCTATCATTTCAAGCGACTTTGTCTTCTTGCAGGTCTGGAAAGAGACAAGTTTGACAACAAGACAGTGTCCTTCGAGGAGCACATCAAATCTGAACACAACATGTGGCACTACCTTTACTTCCTGGTCCTGGTGAGGGTGAAGGATCCGACAGAGTACACCGGCCCTGAGAGCTACGTGGCCCAGATGATCGCGGTCAGTCTACTCAACGTATATGCTGCATGCTCAGAGAAAAAAAATCATTTGTTTTACAATCAAAGAGACATCACACAGGCTGCTCTGTCATCAAATTACTGTCGCTCAAGTTAAATTGAAGCACTTTAATCTAGCATTTCCAAAGTGCACTACAATGTTCAAATATGGATTTGAAGACTTCTTTTTTTGTGATCAATTTTTTATTATTTATGTTTAAACATTGGCGCTTACAATAAAAGGAAAACAAGATGTTGTGGTTTTAACAACAGCCCACAAATATACAGGAGAGGAGAATCATACACAGTATATCATAATCATCATTCCTTATACAATACATTTCAAAAGAAGGGATGAAAACAGCAGAGAAAAGAGGCAAACAAAGATTGAATCCTGTTCCTCCCCTGGATTACCACAACACAGGAAGTATAGAAATAAGTAAAGAATAATGGCAATGAGGAGGGCAAAGAAAAGAATTCCTCCAATATATCCCACCCCAACCTCCCTCCCCCCCCAGCACTCCCTCCCTCCCTCCCTCCCTCCCTCCCCACCTCAAGGACCCCACAGATAGACCAAGCATAACAAGCAAAAACATATAAATCATAACAAAGATTTTAAAGTTTGAATGGTGTCTGTCCAACAAGTCACATGATCTGTTTGAGCATGATTTGAAGACTTCTGTGCATTATTATATTCAGATGTCACACCTTAAAGTCTTTATATGTGATGTTTTGATCCAGCAGATGTCGCCCTTGAGCTCCAGCATGAAACCAAAACAACTCACGCTGCATTGTTGTGTTAGCATGCTAATGCTAGCGATCTTTATTCTGCTGGTATCTTCACACTGCATGTAAATTTACCTGAAATGAGTGTGATCTAGAAACACAGTTAAGCAGTGAGTACAGTATGTTATTCTTCTTTTCTCTAGTCCCTCAATTAAACAACTTTTATACACGAGGGGAGGAGTCAGCCGGCCGTCCCGGCGATGTAAACAAAGTGAAGATAGGACTCTGAAAACTGTGAAAACATCACAGACAGTGGGACTCGGGTGTTACACCCATTGTAGACAGTCATGACTCACAGAGTTATTTTCAGAGGATAGACTTGATTTATATTTAAGTGTGAAAAATCACAGAGAAAGACTTTAACACACCCAACAGCATATATTTGATTTATTATTCTGGGGAACATATAGACAAACAAACACATTCGTCTCTAAATCTCACTCCTAATTCACATTTTGCTCATGAGCTGTACACATCGGCATGCGGAGGCGTCAGTGTTCAGAGTCTTGAAGTTGTGCAGCCCTCCTCACTTTGCAGACTTGCAGAGTGTGCTAGAGAAGCGTGAGCAGACGAGCGATCGAAAAATGAGCCTAAGCCTCCAGGCCTGTGCCGAGCATCCTAATTTACTCCCCCCCCCCCCTCCTCCTCCAATCGCTGCTGGAGAGACATGACTCTCTGTGCTCAGGTAGTCTTCACCGTGCCCAGCTCCTAACCTGCTGGGACACAAAGTGGTTAAATGGTAATTAAACTCAGTCCGGCTCTATTATCATCAATGCACCAACTTGCTGCTCTGACACACAGACGAGAAGTTGAAGGATGTAAGGGCGACTAAAAGGTGTTGCCGTGAGGTTAATGGATTCAAATGAAGCCTCGCAGCACAATGACACATTTAGTGATTAACACTGCGGCCATGACGCGCATGAAAATTGGTTGCATTATAATAACCACTTTGCATAACAAACAGGTTGACAGACGTTGAATTAATATGCATCAGCAGGTCCTCGAAGAGGTCGGCTGTGTTCTGACTCCAGGCCTAAGTATCGCTGCGTTATAAGATAGGCTAATGATGAGTCAGGAATTTATACTAATGCCTCCTATTGTACCTTTGGGCTGATGCACACAGAAGGTGGACAGACTTGAGCTACAGACCACTTTTGTTTGAAACACATATTTTGACATTTCCTGTTTCTCCTGAAAAAGTTTAAAGCCCCTCAAAAGTTTCTGCTTTTTCTCAAAGATATTTACTTTTCAATTTAAAATAAGATTAACGCTCAACTTCATGCACTGAAGTGATTATCTGTTGCAACAAAGTCTAAACGTAAAGCTACTGATGAATGAAAACTCTGCCCTTCCTGCTCTGTGTTGAGCTGAAACCTGATGACCTTGAGAAACACACACACACACACACACACACACACACACACACACCAGTGAAACACGATCCTGCACTTTTTTCTTGGCAACAAATCACTCTGTCCTATGCAACCACATGCACTCATTATGAGTGTGTGTGTGTGTGTGTGTGTGTGTGTGTGTGTGTGTGTGTGTGTGTGTGTGTGTGTGTGTGTGTGTGTGTGTGTGTGTGTGTGTGTGTGTGTGTGTGTGTGTGTGTGTGTGTGTGTGTGTGTGTGTGTGTGTGTGTGTGTGTGTGTGTGTGTGTGTGTGTGTGTGTGTGTTGATCACAGCGACTACAGGCCTGGCAGGTACTGCAGCAGCCACAACGCTGTTACATAACCCATCTCAAGTGGCCTGCTAATAGCTCAGCCCTGCCTTGCACGTGCTCTCCTGTCACTCTCTCTCTCTCTCTCTCTCTCTAAAACACACACACACTGACACACACACACACACCCATGACACAGTCACTGCCACATCATGAACCCTTCATTTACTTTACAACACACACTGTGACAAACTGTCCTTAGCAGAAGTGTGTGAACAGAAAGGGAGCTTGAACTTGGTGTAAGGTGGGGGGTCAGATTCTGTGTAATTCTATGTTGACTCTAGAAATGACTGAAAAACATGTCAGGGTGTTATTTGTACAGTGATAGGTGATGTACTCAACAGGCCTGTCTGGCCTTCTCTGCGTCCTGTGTCATCATTCATCCTCACACTGTTCTAAATCTGTGTGTTTGTCGCTCACACACAAGTTGTGAAACTACCTGACTGAACATGAAGAACTTTCAGGATGTTATGCTAAACTCATGAACAAGGTGATCATGTACTGCAACATAGAAACACTCCTGTTAGAAGATGTCTGTGTGGAGGAGAAACACAGCACAAACTTTAAACATCATATGGTTGAGAATTGTATTTAATAACTATCTCAAACCTTTTTCTCTGTTGAGCCAATGGATAAAAAAATGTAATAATTTATTACAAAAGGCCTAAAAAACAACTTAACTTATTTTTAAGTTTCCTTTATTTAAAGGCTTTCTATGTGATGTTTTGATCCAGCAGATGTCGCCCTTGAGCTCCAGCATGAAACCAAAACAACTGGCGCTGCATTGTTGTGTTAGCATGCTAATGCTAGCGATCTTTATTATGCTGGTATCTTCACACTGCATGTAAATTTACCTGAAATGAGCGTGATCTAGAAACACAGTTAAGCAGTGAGTACAGTATGTTATTCTTCTTTTCTCTAGTCCCTCAATTAAACAACTTTTATACACGAGGGGAGGAGTCAGTTGGCCGTCCGGCGATGTAAACAAAGTGAAGATAGGACTCTGAAAACATCACAGACAGTGGGACTCGGGTGTTACACCCATTGTAGACAGTCATGACTCACAGAGTTATTTTCAGAGGAGATACTTGATTTATATTTAAGGGTGAAAAATCACAAATAAAGACTTTAATTCTCTCTAACCATTTCCACATAAATGACGCTGTATCACAGGTAGATGTAACATAGCTAAGGTATTGATAAATATATTGTCAGAAGGTTAAAAAAGAAATTGGCTGAAAATAACACATTTGGAAAATTTGCTAAGTATATTAGTTGTACTTAAAGGTCCCATATTCTTATTTTCCTGGTTTTATCTGCTCTTTAGTGTGTTTCTAAGTGTCCTGTGCATGTTTAGTCACATCTATGTGCAAAAATTCAAAGTCTGCGGAAATGTGGTTTCTCCTACGTCCTCCTGTTAGCTGTAGCATTAGCTGCATGTAACGCTCGGTTCTAGTCCCGAGCGTTACATGCGGCATAAGAATTTGTCAGTGCAGTGTCATTGTCAGTGTGATATCACTGATCTAAGCCCATTGGCTCGTTGTGGCCCTGACAGACTCAGAGCAGAGAGGGAGCAAGGAGGAGCAGTTCATGAAAACAGACACTTTTTTTGAACTTTATCTATTGTGAATGTACAAAAGTAGGAATATAGATTAAATATACAAACCCCAAAAAGAGCAGAATATGAGCTCTTTAAAGCTCCTGTGAGGTTTGTTTTTATACTGGCGCCCCCTGTGGACAAAGCTTTATGTTTTACTGCTGATCTTGTCTGGTACATGCCTAGCTAGGTACTCACATCCTGCCTCCTTTAAACAGTCGAGTGTATCACCTTTGTGAATGTTTAGTGTTTCTCCAGTGTGCTCACCTGCACACCTCTTCTTGTGTATGTTGTTGTAGCTCTGTGGTGTGTGGTGAGGTGACATCATCACAGTGAGAAGCACGAGTGTGTGTAGCTCCATGCTCACTGAGGTGTTGAAATTGATCATTGGAGCAAACCTAAAGCCTCGCCTCATTCAGACAGCGTGCAGCTCAGCACACAGTGGACCTCTGTATAGTGTAGTGATGGAAAGACGTCATTAAAGACATGAGCGTAACAAATCCAGATTCTGTACAGTCACTGTTTAACCATATGTCACCAATCTGAGGACCAAGCTTTCACTGATATGTAAGTTCAAACAGAATATTGTATTCACCTCATGATAATGTAGGTCTCTTCAATGAAGCCATGTGGTTACTTAATCGATCAGTTACGGATGGCTTGGTTTAAAAAAAAAAAGAAACATCACACAGTCCTCAGTGTCAGTGACCTTGAATCCCACAGGGCCATCACTGTGTCTTTTCAGCTGCTAGGTAGGAAACTTCTCTTTTTTTATTCCGTCAGCCCCTTGATGCCAGAGGCCCAAATTAGCCCAAAGATTTATATGCAATGTCTTATAGAAAGACTGGATTCATACTGTGGAGCTCAGCGGTCATACATAATGGGACTTCCCCTGAAAACA